GCTGGCCGCCGAGAAGGCGGCTCTGCAGGGGCAGCTGCAGCACCTGGAGGGGCAGCTGGGAAGCCTGCAGGGGCGCGCCCAGGAGCTGCTGCTACAGAGTCAGCGGGCACAGGAGCAGAGCAGCTGCCTGCAGGTGGGTGACGGCCTGCGCACCTGTCCCCTGCCCCGTCGCTGCCCACTTCCTGCCACTTCCCCCTGACCCTGCCACTTCCCCTGCCCGTACCCCCTCTGCCTGCCTCTAGCCCCCGCGTCAGTACCCATTTCACCCCGTCTCCAGCCCTCTCCTCCCCTGTCCGTACCCCCTCTGCCTGCCTCTAGCCCCCACGTCAGTGCCCATTTCACCCCGTCTCCAGCCCTCTCCTCCACAGCCAGCCATTAGTCCCTCCTGCTTGCCCTGCCCCGACCCCAGCCCCATCTGTGCCATCCCTGCCTTGTGCCACTTGCCCTCCCCTCCATGGCTGCCTCTGCCTTCGGATCCCTAGACCGCTCTCTCCTTTCCTCTGCCCCGCCCTCTGCCTTTTGCCCCCGTCCCTTACCCCCTTTCCGGCCTGGGACGTCACCCAGCAGGCCCTGCTCCCTCCTCTGGCCTAGGCTGAGAAGTCTGTACTGGAGCTGCAGGGCCAGGAGCTGCACAGGAAGCTGGGGGTGCTGGAGGAAGAGGTGCAGGCGGCGCGGCGCTCCCAGGAGGAGACCCGTGGGCAGCAGCAGGCCCTGCTTCGGGATCACGAGGCCCTGGCACAGCTGCAGCAGCGGCAGGAGGCTGAGCTAGAGGGACTGCTGGCCCGGCACCGCGACCTCAAGGCCAACATGCGGGCACTGGAGCTGGCCCACCGGGAGCTGCAGGGCCGGTGAGCCTCCTCCAAACTCCCAGCTCCTCTCCTGGGCACCCCCTACCTGCCCAGAGCAGATTCTCTGGGTGGGTCTGATGCCACCAAGGCAGCAGTGCCACCAGTGGACCCACCTCCATTGCTGTGCCCTCTTGTGCGGCTGGGCTCTCTACACTTCCGGGGTGGGCTCACCCTGGGGCTCATCAGTGGTCGGGAGTGGTGGGCACCTGGCACAGCGTTCTACCCTGTGGCTTTGCCCCGGGGCTTATGCTTAGGAGACGATGGACTTACAGGTCCAGACGGTCCAGATACCTACACGCCCTGGCGTCGGTCCCTGCGGCCCTCTTAGCTCCTTGTTCATTGCAGGCACGAGCAGCTGCAGGCCCAGAGGGCCCATGTGGAGGCGCAGGAGGTGGCCCTGCTGGCAGAGCGCGAACGCCTGATGCAGGACGGGCATCGGCAGCGGGGCCTGGAGGAGGAGCTCCGGAGGCTGCAGAGTGAGCATGACAGGTACCAGCCCTGGCACAGCCCCTCGCCCCTCGGGCAAGTTCTCAGTGTTCCCATCTGTGAAGTGGGACGGTGGTGAGTTGGTCGCTTTCCCCGTGGGGTCCTGCTTTGCCTCCTCTCCCCATCAAGGCTCCTCTGGCCCTCATGAGGGGCCTGGGGGTGGGGTGGGGCAAGTCCCCTTGGAGAGCAGCTCTCCTTGCTTCTGCAGAGCTCAGATGCTGCTGGCGGAGGTGTCCCAGGAGCGAGGTGAGCTGCAGGGGGAACGCGGGGAGCTGCGGGGCCGGCTGGCGAGGCTGGAGCTGGAGCGGGCACAGCTGGAGGCGCAGAGCCTGCGACTGCGAGAGTCCAACCAGCAGCTGGACTTGAGCGCCTGCCGGCTGGCCACACAGTGTGAGGTGTGGTGAGGGGTGGGTGGTGGCTGGGGAGGAAGGTTGGCTTGAAGGGGGCATTGGGGGCTGGCAAGAGCGTGGAGAGAGTGGAAGGCGGCGGCCCTGAGCCCTGTTAAGCACCCCCGCTTGTCCTGCCGCCTGCCCCTGACAGCTGTTGACGGAGCTCCGGAGCGCCCAGGAAGAGGAGAACCGGCAGCTGCTGGCCGAGGTGCAGGCTCTGAGCCGGGAGAACCGGGAGCTCCTGGAGCGCAGCCTGGAGAGCCGGGACCACCTGCACCGCGAGCAGCGCGAGTACCTGTGAGGGGCCGTGGGGGCTGGCGTGGCTGCCCCTTGGGTTGTTTATGGGGAGACGCCCTGGGAGGGCCTGGGAAAAGGGGGAGGCTGACCCCCAGGGGCTCGGGGCAGCGGGGATTTATCAGCCCATCCTGGGGTATGTCAGGCTGTGTTAACGGGCAGGGTTGCACCAGGGTGTACCCCGTGTTCCTGCCCAGGCCTCAAGCCCACATCCTCCCTCCCCATCCTCCCAGGGACCAGCTCAATGCCCTGCGCCGGGAGAAGCAGAAGCTGGTGGAGAAGATCATGGACCAGTACCGCGTGCTGGAACCTGGGCCCCTGCCCCGGACCAAGTGAGAGGCCCCTCCATCCTGGTGGGCCTGGGATCGTCCCTACCTAGCCCCTGCCCTGCCCTGCCCTTCGAGCCCTGGCCCAGCCCAGGTCTGGGCCCCAGTGACGGTTTGCCTGGCCTTTGCCATCCCAGACATGGCCTCTTGTCCCTCCTTCCTCCCTGGCCTTAGCCTCTCTTGTGCCCTCTTGCCTCCAGGAAGGGCAGCTGGCTGGCAGACAAGGTGAAAAGGCTGATGCGGCCCCGGCGGGAGGGGGGCCCCCATGGGGGGCCACGCCTGGGGGCCGATGGGGCTGGCAGCACCGAGAGCCTAGGGGCCCCCCCAGAGATGGAGCTCTCTGAGGGCAGGGAGGCAGATGGCACAGGTGGGTCTGGGGGTCAGGTGACCAAGATGGTCCCTACCCCATGTCCCCTACCCCCTGCCCCCAGGGCTTGCCAATGCCTCTGGTCTTCCTGTGTGGCTTGCACACGTGCTCCCCGCTGGCCTTCCCTGCTGCAACCTCTCCCCACTCCCCCAGATGGTTCCAGTAGCTCTTTGCCCTGCATCCCTGCTGTGTCCCTCTTGGCTGGTACCTCCCTTCTGCCTGCGCTGCCACCCACGCCATCCTACCCAACCACAGCGGTACCTAGGACCTCGGAGCAGCAGGGGACTTTAGTGAGAAGTCATTTATCCCTGTCAGCAGATGAGGAAACTGAGGCCCAGGGAGGGGAAGCATCTTGCCCAAGGTCACACAGTGAGTTAGTGTCAGAACCAGCACAGGGTCCAGCCTCCTGTCGCCACCTTCACTCACCCAACCCTGGGCCCTTCCGCCCTCACCTCTGCAGCTGCCTGTCCCCTGTGGCCCCTGTGCAGCTTCTCCCTGCTGGCCCCTACACTCTGCCCAGCCCCTCCTGGCACTGCTCCGATACCCTCCCTGCCTGTGCCTCTTGCAGGGTCCCCCTCACCGGCACCCGTGCGCCGGGCCCAGAGCTCCCTGTGCCTGCGGGATGAGACCCTGGCAGGTGGGCAGCGGCGGAAACTCAGCTCAAGATTTCCTGTGGGGCGAAGCTCTGAGTCATTCAGCCCCGGGGACACCCCGCGGCAGAGATTCCGACAGCGGTGCCCAGGCCCGCTGGGGGCACCCAGCTCCCATGGCAAAGGTGAGGGAAAGGGTCCCTCCTCCCACTAGCCCCCCAGTTCCCTGTGGACCCACCAGCTCCATGGGGGAGGGGGCTTTCTTCCTGTCTCCTGTGTCTCCCCACAAGCCCTGTTGCCTCTGTGTTGGTCCTCATGGGCCAGTGGCTGCCTTGTGCCCCCCAGGACCTAGCGTGGGATGGGATGGCTCTGTCGAGACCCTGGCGGAGCGCGAAGCAGATGCCAACAGAGAGGGTGAGTGGGGGCCTGGGAAGGAGGGCAGGTAATTGCCCTGCCTGGGGCCCCGGGCAGGCCTCAGTCACCCACTCACTCATTTGACAATGAACCTTTACGACGTGCCAGGTGATGTGCTAGCTGGGGATACAGCAGGGAACATTCTGGTGTGGGGAGGTGGGAGACAGCAAATAATGTGCATAAAAATAATAATTATCTACAACGGCTCATCCAATAGAAACCTGATGTGAGCTCCACGTGTAATTTAAAATTTTTCAGTAGCCTCATGAGGAGAAGTAGAAAGAGGCATGTAAAATCAATTTTAATAACATATTTTAACTCAGTGTGCCTAAACTATTATCATTTTAATGTGTAGTCAGTGTAAAAGTCATTAATGAGGTATTTTATATTATTTTTTTCACACTAAGTCTGAAGTCCAGTGGTATTTTACACCCAAGCACACTGCAGTTCAGACCGGCCACATCTCACGTGCCCAGTCCTCTACCGGGCAGCTCAGCCCTAGGGTATTAGGAGGTGATGGTGTTCTGGGAAGACAGGAGAGCAGGGCGAGTGAGATCAGGAGCACCGGGCGGCAGGTGGCAGAGGGAACAGCCGAAGTGAAGGCCTGGCATGTCTGAGGCCTGGCAGGGCAGCCGGGAGTCCCCCGAGGGAGCGAGCCTGAGCTGAGCTTTCCCCTCCAGACGTCGAGGTGCAGGAATCGGAGAAACGGGCTCTCGCCCCTTCCCTCAGCCAGTGACACTGCGTGGATGGGGAGCTTGGGAGTGGAGTCTTCTCGACTCTGGAGCCTCACCGGGGGCGCCGGGCAGCCCAAGAATCTGGGGAGGCAGGGCACTTGTGGCGAATCCTTGGACAGGGAGGCCTGGGCCCCCAGATCCTCCACAGCCTGCACTGGGGCCTCGAGCTGGAGCTGGGATGACTTTATGGACAGGGGCGATGGCCGGCCCCCACAAACAGCTCCCGCCTGGGGCTCCGCCATGCGGCCCTTGCTGAGGAGGTGGTCTCCGGGACAGCCCCCAGCTGAAGGAGGCAGGCAGGAGTGGGCAAGAGAGCCCCCTGCCCGGTCCAGACGGTGAGCCAAGGAGCATTTCCCGGGGACTGTGGCCTGGGCCCATCTCTGAGCCTTAGGTGGGATGTGAGGGACACGAGAATAAAGCTGGGATGCAACCACCTGAATCTGTGCTCTGTGTCTACCAGCCGCATCTAGGAGCCACTAGGTGCCAGGGACACATGTGGCCTGGAATCCTTCTCTGCTGGCAGAGGCCTGTGGCCATTGGCCTCCTTGCCCTTCATGGGGCAGCAAAGGGCTTTCTTCAGGGGAGGGGCCCGCTGGGCTGGCCTGGATGTCGCAGTGGTGGGGGGAGGGGGCAGAGGTTCTGGGTAGCCAGCAGAGCGGGTAGGGTCTGAGTCTGGGCTCAGCCTTTGCTCGAGAGGTGGGGTCTGGGCTCCCGAGTGTGGGGCAGGAAAAGTACCCAGAGGGCCTGCGCCCGCCCCCTGTACCCTCTCCTCTCCTTCTATTTCTTCCTGCCTCCTCCTCCATGCCTTTGGGGCCGAGCCCCTCGCCAGGGAATTTACCACCCCTGGGGTGCCGCCTGGTGTTGGGGGCTGTTGTGGAGGGACACACGAGGTGCGAAGGACGCCGGGGTCTCTGACCAGGGCCTCTAGGATGACGCCCGGGAAGGGGGCCATTAGCCTGGGCGGCAGGACGTGAGTCAAGGCACCTGGGGCCGCCCAGAGTAGGGTGGGGCTGCCTGGCTGAGGTGAGGCAACCTGAATCTGGGGGTGGGAAGAGCTGGGAGGGGTGGCCAGGCCAGCCTCCCCAGGGTGACCTACTGCAGCCTGACTCACAGGGTTTCCACAGCCCTCCCCTTGGGGATAACCCACCGCTCTGCCTTCCTTCTCTCAGCCTGAGTTTCTGAGGTTGGTGGCATGGGAGTGGACCCCCCTGGCCTCCAGTGGGGCTGAGCAGCTGGAAGCCCCTCCTACAGGCCTCAGGGCAGGAGGCTTTGATGGCTGCCCCACCCTATTGGTGGCCCCTGTCGGTTGTCAGGGAGGGGGACAAGGCTCTGGGCCTGAAGGGGAGAGCAGGCCACACCTATGTGGCTCTGACACCCCTTTTCGAGGTCTACTTTGTGCCAGGCTTGGGAACCACAAGGGGCAGAGCCACATCGGGGTGCGCGCACTGGGTGGGCTCTGAAGGGTGTCTGGGGGCTGAGGTGCTTTTATAGGTCCGCTTGCTTTAGAGAGATTCGGTCAGAAAATCGGCTGCCCCTCCCTGCTGGGGGTTGGGCTGGGCTCCCTCTCCGTGCCCCTTGTAGGTAAGGGGAGCCCAGAGACAGGGCTTGGTCCTCAGGGTGCCTCAGGCCTCCCCTGCAAAGGCAAGTCTACAGGGGAGAGGGTCTCGCTGGCTGCCGGGGGTATAGACAGGGAGCTGGGCTGGGCCAGGCGGCTTCTGGGACCCTCTTAGCCTGCCCAGCACCAAGAGCGAGAGCCACGCTGAGTGAGAGGCGCAGGGCTGGGGCTGGGCTGGCAGTAGCGGACAAGGGTGGCCGTGTGGCTTCAGGCTGCTCGTCTGGCAAGGGGACCGACAGATCCCCTCCCCTATTTGCTGAGGTCAAGGAGTGATCAAAAACGAGGCAAGTGGGTTGTGATTTTTATGAAATCCCTCACTTTCGCTGGTGGCTAAGAATTGGACAGAGCTGCTTGGCTGCCCTTAGGGCTGGCACCCTGGAGGGGAAGGCGGCTCTAAAGTACATGAGTGGGACCCCCATCCCCCTTGGGACACAGCCTGATGTGGACTTACCGCCTTGGGGCCAACACCTGGCTTGGGAGTGTCCGCCCCACAGAGGCTCCAGGTTATCCACGGACCCCAGGCATGGCTCCTAAGGGGTGTTCACAGGTCCCCAGGATGGTCGCCTGGGGCCCAGAGCGCACAGCCCTAGCACCAGCCCCCTGCGCCTGCGGGAGATGGGACCGCCCCGTCCGCCTGCCCGCCGCCCGGCGCTGTCACGTTCCAGCGCCTGACTCAGGCCAAGCAGGGCGGGGAGCAGGGAGGCGGCGCCAGCGCCCGCCTCAGCCCCGGAGGCGGCACCAGGAAGCTCCCGCCCCGGCCGGAGCCGCCATGTAACCGGCGCCGCCCGGAGCTGAGCCTCGCGGGCCCCAGCGACCCGCCAGCCATGGGGGACGAGGACGAGGACGAGGGCTGTGCGGTGGAGCTGCAGATCACCGAAGGTGGGGCAGCGGTGGCCCGGGGTGCAGGCCGGGTGATGGCTGCCCAGGCCGGCTGGGAGGGTTCATGCACGGGCTGGGTTCATTTGCCCCCTGTGCCCGCAGCCAACCTGACCGGGCACGAGGAGAAGGTGGGCGTGGAGAACTTCCAGCTGCTCAAGGTGCTGGGCACGGGAGGTGAGGAGCCCTATCCACCGGCAGGTGTCCCAGGCATGGTGCCCCGGGCCTCCCGCTTGCACACCCACCTGGGTTGGGCCAGGCTGCCGGCAGTGCCCCCCAGCCTCTCCCTGCTCTGCCCTGCCCTGCCATGGTTTGCATGCCGACCCCCAGGGCTGCTCCACGTTGACGTCGCTCCTCCCTGGAAGGTCCTCCGGGATCTGCCAACACTCTTGGGGGCTTGCAGCTCTCCTGTGTGATTTCACAGCTCCTCCCCTTGCGGGATATGAAAGCCCTCTCCCCCACTTTGCAAACTCCCCTCCTCGGGTTTGACCGGCCCTCCCCTGTCTGCGTGCACCTCTGCCTCCCCTCCTTGGCTTTGCATCCTCTTGCATCTGTCTCATCTTCCACAGGTTTGCACATGACCCGCCCTCCACCCCACCCCCACCCCCGCTGCAGGCCTCCCGGAGTTGTGTGCCCCCCAGCCTGGTTTGCACATCCCCTCCCTGGTTTTGCTGAGCACCCGCCCGGGGGTGTGCACACCTTTTCCTTAGAAGGCTCTGCCAGTTTTTGCACACCTGCCTCTCACCCCAGCTCCTTCCCCCGACTTGCACACCCTCCTGGCTTGGCAGCGTGCCCACCCTCACCAGTCTGCACCACCCTCCTGTTCATGGCCTACCCTCCGCCCACTCGCTGCTCCCACAGCCTACGGGAAGGTGTTCCTGGTGCGGAAGGCGGGCGGGCACGACGCGGGGAAGCTGTATGCCATGAAGGTGCTGCGCAAGGCGGCGCTGGTGCAGCGAGCCAAGACGCAGGAGCACACGCGCACGGAGCGCTCCGTGCTGGAGCTGGTGCGCCAGGCACCCTTCCTGGTCACGCTGCACTACGCCTTCCAGACGGACGCCAAGCTGCACCTCATCCTGGGTAAGGGCAGACACCTTCCAACCCTGGGGGCCATGGAGGCGGGGGGGCCACCCAAGGGGGCTACTTCACAACTTTCACCCACCTCCCGCCCCCAGACTATGTGAACGGTGGTGAAATGTTCACCCACCTCTACCAGCGCCAGTACTTCAAGGAGGCTGAGGTGCGCGTGTATGGGGGCGAGATCGTGCTGGCCCTGGAACACCTGCACAAGGTGGGTGAGGACCTGGCCACCTGGCTGTGGCCGTGGGGACTGGGCCTGGGCCTTAGAAGGGGCCTGTGAACATAGCGGCCTTGGGCTTTCTGAGGGCTGGTGGCCTCGGTGGGGACGGGAGCTGCTTCCCTTAGGCCTCCTGGAAGGAAGGCCTCGGTGCTGCCTGGTGGGGTCTCCTCCCCTGGGGTCTCCTCGAAGGGGCTTTCCTCTCACAGGGAGCTCGAGGCTGCTTCCTGGGGCCACGTTCACAGAACTTCTGCAAACGGAGACCTCATGCCTTGGCTCCCAAAGCCGTCATGAGATGGGGCTCCTCTCCCTGGGAACTTGGGGCCTGCTCCCCTGCGGCCTCTCCATGGTGTCCTCTTCCTTGCTTTTACATCTTAAATGGCTTTTCCTATCCAATGGCCCAGTCCCACCCCAGCTCCGCACCAGCACTGGAGATCCCCTTCCCCAGGGACCAGGTGCAGGGACAGGAGCAGAGGGTGTCGGGGGAGGGATCCTCAGGGCCTTCTTGCTCCTGCCAGCTGGGCATCATCTACCGAGATCTGAAGCTGGAGAACGTGCTCCTGGACTCCGAGGGCCATGTCGTCCTCACAGACTTCGGGCTTAGCAAGGAGTTCCTGACAGAGGAGGTGAGTGAAGGGCAGTCGCGGCCTCCTGCACCCCCGTGCGGGCCGTCCTTTCCCGGCTCCTGCTTCATGCCTGGCTCTGCGTTTCTTGGGGGTGCAGAGGTGAGTAGATCCAGGCCCTGCCTTTGGGGAGTTCCCACTGCTCCGACCCTCACAAGTCCACGAGTCTTAACTCTGAGCCTTGGGCGGGTCCTCTTGCCCTCCCAGAAAGAGCGGACCTTCTCCTTCTGTGGCACCATCGAGTACATGGCCCCTGAGATTATCCGCAGCAAGTCGGGCCACGGCAAGGTGGGTTGGCAGGGGATCAGAGGGGTGGGTGTGGTGAGGGAGGGGTGGCCGCAGGCCCTCACCCTGGCTCTGCCCCGCAGGCTGTGGACTGGTGGAGCCTAGGCATCCTGCTCTTCGAGCTGCTGACAGGGGCTTCGCCCTTCACCCTGGAGGGCGAGAGGAACACGCAGGCAGAGGTGTCTCGGTGAGCAGGGTTGGAAGCAGAGGGCGGCTGAGGGGCCTGGGCAGGGCTGGAGGGGGGGCTTGCTGCCCCTGACGCCCCCCCACCAATCCTCCCAGACGGATCCTGAAGTGCTCCCCTCCCTTCCCCCCCCGGATTGGGCCAGTGGCACAGGATCTACTGCAGCGGCTACTTTGCAAGGACCCCAAGAAGCGGCTGGGTGCAGGACACCAGGGGGCGCAGGAAGTTAAGAACCACCCCTTCTTCCAGGTGAGGCTCCTGGCTCGCCCCCATACCTGTCTGCACACACCGGGGCCAGGCTACTGCTCTGGGTTGGGGGACACTGGAGGGATGGTCTGAGGCTGGCCAGTTTCACTCGATTTGGAAAACCTCTCAGATAAAGAAAGCAGGCTTGTCTTCTCAGCCGTCTCTATTGCAACTTGGAAGATGTGTTCTTGGCGGGAAAGCATTCATTGCCTGGTAGGGCTGGCAGGGACTTGAGAATGAATTCATCAGTCCTTTCATTGGACAGGTTCAGAGGAGCAAGGTGACTTGCCCAAGATCACACAGTAAAAGTGTAGAGCTGGGAACAGACCCCAGGTCTGCTGTCAGCCCAAATCTAATGACTCTTGCATGCACTCAGGGTTTTGGTCTTTGTACCTGTACAGGCTGTGTGCCTCTTCTTCAGATGGACATGTCTGAATCAACCACGTGGGTTTTGTTCACTTGTTAAAAGCACACACAGTTGAAGGTGCAGTGCAGAGTGAATTCTGTCCTTGTGAGACCTCACTGGCTCGGGCACTATGCCTGGCCAGCATCACTGCCGAGCAGGGCCCTGTGACTGTGAACACCTGTGTCTTGGCCCCTTGCTTGCATTATTTCATGTAAGCCTCAGAACCTTCCTGATTATCTTCATCTTTACAGATGAGGAAACTGAGGTTCAGAGAGGTTAAGTAATTTGCCCAAGATCACTGAGCTAAGTGATGGAGCTCAGATTTAAACCCGCATCTGGGTGGCTTGAAGGCCCATGCTCTTAACTGTTATGTTCTGTTTACATGTGGGTATTAAATTTGCCTTGTCTGACGTAGAAACAGAGGCATCCACTAATGGGCACTTACAGTGGGCCAGACATCCAGTTACCCTTGCTATGAGTGCCATCTCCTTGAATCTTCCCAGCAAGTACTGCTTGGAAGGGCCCTCAGAGAAGCTTTCTCAGACAGGAGTCTAAGTCTCTGTGGTGAAGATGTCCCTTTGTGGGCGAAGTGACTGAACAGTGTCAGTTTCCTTAAGTGAATTCCTCAACCCACCCTGAGCACATGCCAGGCTCCAGGTGCTGGGAGTAGGTGGACCAGTAGTCACACTGGAGAGGCACCCCAAAGTTTTCGAGGCCTGATGGTGCCCTTATTCCCCCTTCTCTTGAGATAGCCTCTTTGGTGATAGCAATGCTCAGGTCCCTGGTGCCAGGACTGGGGCCTTCAAGCTCAGGCCAGGCCTCTAGGCTGCAAGTGACAAAAAGTCCAACTCAAGATGGTGATATCTGTGGAATAGAGTCTGGCTGCTAAGAACAGAGATAGGAATGAATAGTGGTCTAAACAAGATAGACGTCTATTTATTTATTTATTTTCTCACATAAAAGAAATCCAGAAGTTGGCAGGCTGGGGCTGCTGTGGTGTCTTCATGAAGCCAAGTTCAGTTTTTTTTTTTTTCTTTTTAAATGCTCCTCTATTCTTAGCACGTAGCCTCTGTCCCCAAGGTTGCCTCGTGGTACAAGATGACTGCTGGAGCTCTTGCTATCTAGGTTGCTCTCCAGGTGGGAAGCACGAAGAAGAAGGAGTGGAAGGGCAAAAAGGGCACCTTACCAACGGTTCACCCTCCTCTTCAGGCTCTTTCCCTGGATTCCTACCTCGTAATTTTTGCTTACAAGTAACTGGTCACTGCTAGCTGCAAGGAAGTTTATAAAATACTATTTTTTAGTTGTGTACATTGGTTCCTGAAATAAAATTGGGGCTATAGTACTAAGGAAGACCAGGAGAATGGATGTTGGGCAGGCAACGAACAGGCTCCGCCGTACTAGTTTAAACATAAAAGGAATGTTTTAGCTCCCATAAATGAAAAGTCCAAGGAAAAGTGGTCTGACTTCAGGCAAGGCTGCATCCAGGTGCTGAATCTATGTTATTAGGAATTTCTTTCTTTGTCTCTTGCTTCTGCTTTTCTGCACAGGCACTTCATCATTAGACACTGAGGGGGTCCCCAGCAGTTCCAGGCCCATATCCTCCCAGATTTAAGTCCAGTAGGAGAAAGAGATTTGTTTTTTTTTTTTTTTTTTTTTTTCGCACATCAATTCTATTAAAAGCCCCAGAGTTGGCTGAGTGTGGTGGAGGGCTGGTTCTCCAAGAGAAATAGGGATTCTGTTATCAGAGGAAGGGAAACAGAAGCTGGGGAGGCAGGAAGAACAGCTTCCCACACAAATGCCAGTGAGACCTTTGCCTCACTGAGGAGCTGCCTGGTGAGGGTGGCCTGAGTGGACAGGGGTTTCCACTTCCTGCCCTTTGACCCCTTGTCTCTCATTCCTTTTCTCCAGGGTCTGGATTGGGCTGCTCTGGCTGCCAGGAAGATTCCAGCCCCATTCCGACCCCAGATCCGCTCAGAGCTGGATGTGGGCAACTTTGCAGAGGAATTTACCCGGCTGGAGCCTGTCTACTCACCCCCTGGAAGCCCCCCACCTGGGGATCCTCGCATCTTCCAGGTGAGTGAGCGTTCATAGAACCACAGATGCGGGGGAGGCAGGATGCTGCTCAACCTCAGCCCTGGCTGACCTGTGGGCACTGCACAGGCCCTGTGTCCTGATCAGGAGTCAGCATCTCCTCCAGATCTCTCCACTCGTTCGGAACCTACAATTGTCAGTCATAGAGACCACCTGGGCAGGACATGCCTTTGAATTTCCTGGTTTATCTTGAAATTTCCTGTTAATTTCCCTTCTTCTCCATCATATCTCTATTGTTATGTAAAAATACTGTTTTAAATTATTCACTTGCTTAAGGGGACACTTAGGAAGAGATGCCTTGTTTATACTGTGGCTTTGCATGTCCCTCTGGCACACCATATCACACTCCTGGGGGCATAGGCCCCCTCCGCCCAGTTTTAGAAGCTTAGGCCCGTTGGACCAGTCCCATCTCCTTTGCTCGGCATACAGGGCCTTGCACGATGTGGCCTCTGCTCGGAGCCCTAGCCTCAGCACTCTGTTATTCCACTCAGTGCTCTAGCACGTCTGAACTGCTCAGAGGTGCCAGAACACACCTCTGTACCTTTGCATATGTGGTTCCCTCAACCTGGAGGGTATAGTTGCTCACCTGGCAAAATTCAAGCCTTGTTGTCCAGTGCTGTCCGCATATGAAGTCTTCCCTGCTCCTCTGGCCCTGGGTCACCCTTTCCTTGTGCACCAGCCTGCTACAGACAAAGTCTCCTTCTAAACAGTTTGTCAGGTTTTATCCCGGCGCTGACTGAGACTGCCTCACCTGGTCTGAAGTTCCCAGAGGGCAGGGACTGTGTGTTTAATTTCTGTGTCCCTGAGTCCAGCTGGTAATTTCTGTGTCCCTGAGTCCAGCTTGGGGGCCTGGCCTGTAGGACATGGTCCATAAATATTAAATAAGAATAGGCCAATATCAAGTATGGATGGATCAGTTCCCCTCTATGAAGCTCTCACAAGGGACAGCTCTGTGCTTGAATATCCCTCGATCTACTGCGATCCATCCTCGATCTCACAGTCCTAATGAGCAAGTTTTCTTGTGAATCAGTGGTTACTTTCATTCATTCATTTAATGATTCAAAAGTATGTATTGAGTGCCTTCAATGTGCCAGGCACTGACCTGGGCACTAGGGACGTAACAAACTTGACAGACAATAATCCCACCCATGTGGAGCTTGCATTCTAGCGCACAGTGGCGCTGCGTTTTTAGGAGAAGACAACACATTGTTAAAATTACCCTTGAGAGTCCCTTGAATTGCCAGGATGTGGATTGTTAGGAAAGGCAAAGAATTAACTTTGGTTTCTCTTTACGTTTCCTCAGTAGCCCCCCTTGCAGAGGAGGCCAAAGTTTGATTTGAAAGGAAGGAGTAAAGACTTTTTGTCCTGAGTGGGTAGAGTTGAATTCTCCTAAGTTAAGTATGTGTGATGCCAGGCCACAGTTCTTTCATGTATTCAGCCTATCATATTCTGGGCCAGTACAGTGTGCCAGATGACGCCCTTGGCACTTGGGGGGATCACTGTGATGGGAAAGGTAGAGTCACAGACTGGTGGGGGAACAGACATGCATGGTCCCAAGAGATCACAGAACACGGTGGAATAAAATGTCCACACATCCTGTGTGCACCAGGATGCAAAAGCAACATCCCCTACTCCAGGGTCTTTCCTCTGCCCCCGCCCTCCTTCCCGCTGGGTCTGGGCCTTCGGGGACTCCATCTGCACCTCCATCCACCCCTGACAACACCCCTCCTCCGCCAGGGATACTCCTTCGTGGCACCATCCATCCTGTTTGACCACAACAACGCGGTGATGACCGATGTGCTGGAAGCGTCTGTTGCTGGAGACCGGCCTGGCAGGGCAGCGTTGGCCAGGAGCGCCATGATGCAGGTGGGTTGGGCCAGGGTGGGGAGAAGTGGGCTTGGGGGCATTTGGGCTTGGGGACTCCAGATGTGGCTTCAGCAGGCGCATGCTGTGGCTTCGGTGAGGTCCATAGCCTCTCTGAACAGGGGCGTGGCATGGCCGCAAGGCTCCCGGTAGGACCTCTGACGCGTCCCCTTCGCCCCCAGGACTCGCCCTTCTTCCAGCAGTACGAACTGGACCTGCGGGAACCCGCGTTGGGCCAGGGTAGCTTCTCCGTGTGTCGCCGCTGCCGCCAGCTACAGAACGGCCAAGAGTTCGCGGTCAAAATCCTCAGCCGCAGGTGAGCGGGCCCGGGGTGGGCTGGGTTCTGCTGAGCGGATTCCGGGAGGGCGGGGCCGGAGGTCAGCCGTCCTGACCCTGCCTGCCCTGCCCCCAGGCTGGAGGCGAACACGCAGCGCGAAGTGGCCGCCCTGCGGCTGTGCCAGTCGCACCCCAACGTGGTGAAGCTGCACGAAGTGCATCAGGACCAGGTGACGCCTTCCTGGGCTAGGGCGGAGCCCAGGGACGCTAGAGCCTGCCCGTGGGGGGCGGGGAGGAGGACAGGAGGCGGGGCCTGAGAGCGCCATGGGCGGGGCCTGAGGACCCGGAGGTCAGGGAAGTGGGATTTCAGGGGAGTAGGGCCTGAGGACCGGAAGGCGGAGCTGAGGATGGCCAAGGGAACGGGGCAGGGGGCGGATTTAGGGCGGCGGGTTTTAAGGTGGCCAAAGGGACGGGGGCCTGGAAAAAAGTAGGGGGTAGAAACTGAAGCGAGTCCTAAGGTGGTTCTTGGGGTGGTCTTGAGGTCAGGGTTCGAACAGGGTCGGGGCCTGAAGCCGGGGGCGGAGCTTGATGTTGACCGCGGGGCAGGATCTGGCTGGGCCCGGTGGGGGGGGGGGGGGGGCGGCCCGGTTGGGTAGGTGGTGACAGTAACCCAGGTGGTGACCTTGGCCCGTCGCGCCGCCCGCAGCTGCACACGTACCTGGTCCTGGAGCTACTGCAGGGTGGGGAGCTGCTGGAGCACATCCGCAAGAAGCGGCACTTCAGCGAGTCCGAGGCGAGCCAGATCCTGCGCAGCCTCGTGTCGGCCGTGAGCTTCATGCACGAGGAGGCGGGGGTGGTGCACCGCGACCTCAAGCCCGAGGTGGGCGCGGGGCCTCAGCGGACTGGGAGGGCTTCGGCGCGGAGGGCCAGTCTCTGACGGCCGTCTCGCCTCCCTCATAGAACATCCTGTACGCCGATGATACGCCCGGAGCCCCGGTGAAGATCATCGACTTCGGGTTCGCGCGTCTGCGCCCGCAGAGCCCAGCGGGGCCCATGCAGACACCCTGCTTTACGCTGCAGTACGCGGCCCCCGAGCTGCTGGCGCAGCAGGGCTACGACGAGTCCTGCGACCTCTGGAGCCTCGGCGTCATTCTGGTATGGGACGGGGTCTCCGAGGAGATGTCAGGGTCCTCCGAGCCTGGGGACAGGAGTTCTCTTGTTGGGGTGGCAGGGTTTGGTCTGAGGCTGGGGTCAGAAGTCGTCCTAATACAGAGGCGAGGTCTCTCTGGTGCTGGGGTCTGGGCATCCTAGTTTTAGGAGTTGGAAGTCAGAGTTCATAACCCATGGGCCTCAGGAGTTAGCCTCTTGGAGAAGGTCTGGACTGGTCTCACTTTTCACTCCCCAGTACATGATGCTGTCAGGCCAGGTCCCCTTCCAGGGGGCCTCAGGCCAGGGCGGGCAGAGCCAGGCGGCGGAAATAATGTGCAAGATCCGCGAGGGGCGCTTCTCCCTTGACGGGGAGGCCTGGCGAGGCGTGTCTGAGGAAGCTAAGGAGCTGGTCCGAGGTGCGAAGCCGGAGGTCACAGGTCATGGCTGGGGAGGGGGAGGCCATGGGGTCATGATGGGACAGGGTTTGCTACTGGGTCAGGTGTCCTGGTGGGGGACTTGTGGGGAGGAGAGTGGGGCTGCTAGGATGTCTCTGGGGCGCAGCCTCTACACACAGCCCCCCAACACTTCCCCTGTCCTGCCTCCAGGGCTCCTGACTGTGGACCCCACCAAGCGGCTGAAGCTCGAGGGACTGCGGGGCAGCTCGTGGCTGCAGGACGGCAGCGCGCGCTCCTCGCCTCCGCTACGGACGCCGGACGTGCTGGAGTCCTCGGGGCCAGCTGTGCGCTCCGGGCTCAACGCCACCTTTCTGGTGAGGGGCGGGGCCTGCGGGGGGGTCCGGGACCGAGGCTGGAGAGGCGGAGCCTGCGGGAGGCTACTCCCGCAGAGTCCTGAAAGGTTGAGTTCAGCCGAGTCCAGGCCTCTGACCTGTCGGGACCCTGACCGTTTGAGAGGCTGGAGGCCAAAGACCTGTTGGCCCTGACCTAGTGGTATGGGAAGGAAGGCCTGGGATGGGGTCCAAAGCTAGGATTTGGAAGTCGAGGCCGGGCCGGTGGAACTTACCGCCTCCTTTCCGCCAGGCGTTCAATCGGGGCAAACGCGAGGGTTTCTTCTTGAAGAGCGTGGAAAACGCGCCGCTGGCCAAGCGGCGGAAACAGAAGCTGCGGAGCGCCGCCACATCCCGCCGCGTCTCCCCCGTGCCCGCCGTCCCGGGCCGGGCACCCGCCGCCAAGGGAGCCCCCCGACGAGCCAACGGTCCCCTGCCCCCCTCCTAGCCTCCGTCACTGTGACCCTCTCCCCGGTCGGGGCTGTGTTCTAGGAGGCCGGCTCACTGCCCCCAGGCCTCCTGTATAGCTCCGCCCCATCCCCAGGGATTGTTACCCTTCTCTCCCCTCCCCCCCCACCCCCAGACAGAGCAGAAGTATTTTTATAAGCAGAGAATTTTTTTTAATGTCTTACCAGATAGAGTTAGAGATGCAGGGAGGGAGGGGGCCTGCTGGGGAGTGGAGTGGGGGGCCCTCTGCCTAGATGCTGCCTCATCTGGTGGAAGGCACTTCTCCCCCAGGGGGCTGCCCCGGCAGGGAAGGGCTCCTCCTCCATTTCTAAGCACTGAGTTGCCACAGGGAGAAACTGGGACCTCTCCCCTGCCCTCCCCTGAGGTCCTGCTCTTGGGAGGGGGCACCCCTCAAGCTGTCACTTTATGGACTGTTTGTGCAATTACGTCCACCAAAGACCTGTGTCGGGGGTGCTCAGTGAGAGGCCCTGGGGGACCCCCTGAAGCATTTCTGCCTCACTTCATGTCACCTGCTTCCCCCTATTGAGGCTTAGGAAGGAGGTAGGCGACCCCCTAAAAGGGGAGGCTCCCTTCTCACCCATCCCCTCCCCTTTGGCACAGCTGCCCCTAGCTGGGGGTGGCACCTTGGGGGTCTGGGGTGGGCATCCACAGTCACTGCCTCAGCCCATCCAGGCTGTGCCTTTGACTTAAAAATAAAAGTCTACCCAGTGCTGTGTGTGGCATGTGTGTGCGTATGTGTTGGGGGTGTGTATGGGCAGAGGTCTTGGGGCTGCCTGCCAGCCAACGGGGCCTGAGACCTCAAAGAGGAGGGACAGGGCAGACCCTTCTGGGTAAGATGGTACCCTTTGTCCTTAGCTTTTGACATGAGGGTCAAACAGTTATCTTGGGTGTGTATCTGATACCTCTGGCATGTATCATTTAGGATTCTCCTGGTTGTAAGTAGTAGAAAACCCAACCTAAACTTGCTTCAGCAGAACAGGACTTCTAGGCTTTTTGAACTACACAATCCAGGGGTAGCTTCAGGCAAGACCTGATCAGGATGCAAACATATGATCAGGACTCAGCTCCCCAGTCTTAGCTTTTTATTCTGTTGTGGGTTTTTTTGGTGTTGTTGCAGACTTGGAGGACTCTCCTTTTGGCCCCAAGATGGGTGGCAGGTGCTCCAGGGAGCTACAGATTGAAATCTGGTGATAAAGAGAGTCTTCGTTTTAGCATTCCTGGCAGGAATCCTGAGATGTACTCCAACTGAATCCATTTAGGTCAAGTGCCTACTCTGAATCAATCACTGTGGCCAGGGATGCAGTGTGCTGATTGGCTTAGATCTGGATCTTAGACTCCCCTCTGCAACCTCATTGGGTGGAGAGCAGGAGAAGGGATGGTCCCTAGAGAGAGGTCAGTTGGACAGGGCTTGGTTCCGGTCAGGGAGGGAGAGCAGGAGGGGAGCAGCTCATACCCACGGCTGTGGCAGTGATCAGAGTGCGCCCCTCTCAAGGGGCGTGAGACTTCCCTTGTGTGATCCCTACTGGGTGGTTGTGGCCATAGGGCAGTTTGGCCTGAGCGCCTCTGTGCCTCCCCAGGTCAGGGCTATTTGTCCGTATAGTGCAGGCGTCCTGAGAGCCCCAACCCCCTGCCTGGACACTAGGGGCTGCTGCAGGCCTCTCTCCCCATAGGCACCCTGTGGGGTCACCTCAGCGTGGGCCTTCCCCTCCTGTTCTGAGGTTTGCCTCTCAGAGGAGGAGGTAACTGGAGGCCTGGGGACAGGAGCTGGGGCCCCACAGATGCTGAAGTCAGGGTAAAGCCAGGTAGGCCTGGTGGGCAGGTGGGACCCCATGGGTGTGGATCAAGGGCAGTTGGGGGGGTGTGGGAACACCCAACTGTATCCCATCCTATGGGTCTGAGGGAGGAGAGGGGGGCCCAGGAGAAGTTCGGAGGGAGGGGAGGGGAAAGCATCGCTAATTCTGACTTGTTTTACTGACCGTGTGACTTGAGTAAGTCACCTAACAGTCTCAGGCTTCCCCATTTGTCAAGAGGGAGTCATATGGCTGTCAGGATGAACTAGAGAATGAACACATGTGAGAGGGAGGTCATTTAACGACCAAGTATTTACTGGGATTTACTGAGGTCTTCCAGTGCGCGGGGACTGCCCTGAACGCTACATGGCTTATCTCACGGACTCCCCGCGACTAGCTGATGAAGAAAACACCATTTCCATTTAATAGAGGGAAAAGTGAGCCTCAGTGAAGGTCAGCACCTCGCTCAAGGCCACTCAGCTAGAAGTGCCTTCCATCCCGGTGGTCTGATTCCAGACTTCCCTCAACCATAGGAGTTCTGTAGTGAGGATGGGCTTTAATTTTACCCCAAGGCTGGATGTTTGGATTGTTTAAAACTCTGTTTCTATCATAAATGATGCGGAGACAAGTTGGTACATAAATCTGTGCATTTAAAAAATACCTTGGAAAAAAAGAAAAAAAATACCTTGGACTTCCCTGGTGGCACAGTGGTTAAGAATCTGCCTGCCAATGCAGGGGACACAAGTTCGATCCCTGGTGCAGGAAGGCCCCACATGTCGCGGAGCAACTAAGCCGCTGCACCACAACTACTGAGCCTGCGCTCTAGAGCCGGTGCTCCGCAACAAGACAAGCCACCACAATGAGAAGCCTGTGCACCACAACGAAGAGTAGCCCCAGCTCGTGGCAACTAGAGGAAGCCCGCGTGCAGCAACGAAGATCCAATGCAGCCAAAATAAATAAATAAATAAGTAAATAAAAATTTAAAAATAGCTTTATTGAGGGAATTCCCTGGCGGTCCAGTGGTTAGGACTTGGCGCTTTTACTGCTGGGGCCTGGGTTCAATCCCTGGTTGGGGAATTAAAATCCTGCAAGCCACGCTGAGCAGAAGGGCCAAAAAAAAAAAAAAAAAAATCACCGAAATGTCCTCTCAAATGGGTGAATAATGTGGTATATAAATTATACCTCAATTAAAAATATCTCAGTAAAGCTATTTTTTCTTTTGGCCGCCGTTTTCTTCTTTTTGGATCTTAGTTCCCTGACCAGGGATTGAACTCGGGCCCGGGCAGTGAAAGCGCCAAGTCCTAACCACTGGACCGCCAGGGAATTCCCCAGTGAGTTTTAGAATATTCGGAGTTGTACAACCATCACTGCATCATTGTACAACCATCAGTCTAGTTTTAGAACACTTTTTTTCACCTCCAAAAGAAACTCTGTGCCCACTGGCAGTCACTCTGCCTTTCCCCTGGACCTTCCAGCCCTAGACAACCATCATCTAAATCCTGTTTTGTAGATTTGCCTACATACTTTGATATATACTTTGAAATATACTTTCAAAATCCATTCACAAATATACTGGCATACAGTCTCAGAAGCAGGGTATGAAAACGTCGCATTTCATTTTATGCTCACAAGCACTGGGTGTTATCACTCAGCGATATAACCTTTGCTGCTCTGATGGATAAAAAGTGGTCTCTTATCTGCAATTTCCTCACCCTTCATCCCACATAACTCACAGCCACCCTAAGAAAGAGGTCTTCCTAGTCTCATTTCATGAGACTCAGAGGATGGGAGTAACCCCAAGGAGGGAGCCTGTTGGATGGAAGGGACTGGGGCTCAGAGGAATGAGCAGCCTTGATCTGAGTCCTGCCTCTACCCGGAGTGGTCAGGGAACCTGCAGGGGAGACAGATGACACTTGGGCTGTAAGCTGGACAGGGTGTGACCAAGCAGAGTGGGCGGGGAGAGGGTGGCCACAGGCAGGGAGGTGGGGAGCTCAGAGGAAAGTGATCAGGGCTGCGGTCTGGCAGCCTGCTTCCTTCTACACCTTGACTTTGGCCTCTAACCAGCCCAGCCTTACGTGGAGGCTGTCTCTTCCGGGAGAGCTGGAAGGGCTCACCTTTCTGCATTGAGCCTCTAATTCCGCTCTTAAATGGCCTCACGGGGTAGGCTCGGGCTCCCAGCTCTGTTAAAATGCTGATGCCCTTGAGAAGGCCTGGCAGCCCGTAAACATTCACCTCCCTCCAAGTCACTGTTAACCAGCTGCTGTTAGAACTGAAGTCGGGGTGCTTGCTTTTAGTCTGTGCCTTACAACCACCATTTGACCCCTCCTTAACATCCCCCGCATCTCTCAACAAGGATATTCCACAGTCATGTAGTAGGGATTGCAAACTGGTACCAGTGTCTGGCCTATAGAGACTTGTTATTTTGGGGGGCAGGGGAGATAGCACGTTTGTTTGTTTGTTTATTTATTTATTATTTGCCTGCACTGGGTCTTCGTTGTGGCACGCTGGATATTCGTTGCCACATGTGGGATCTTTAGTTGTGGCATGCAGGATCTAGTTCCCTGACCAAACCCAGACCCCCTGCATTAACCACTGGACCACCGGGGAAGACCCAGCACATGTTTCAAAATGAGAAATTGCATATGAAAGCCTGGATGTTTGACTTTTATTGATGGCCTGATCAGCCAAAGCAGAATCGTGTTGCCACATAGAGAGGGCCCCTGCTTTCTGGTTGGCCCCGGTCCCCACCACTCTCTATTGACCATACCAGCTCAGTCCCTCATTTATCTTCCTGAAACCTCTAGGTATCTGAGTTTGCAACTCTCATATAAATAGTCTCCTTCCACATTCACTGCTACACAAAAATGTGGTTTGTGAAACGTCGAAGATGCCCCATCAATCTTCTGTTTGTTTCAACATTTAAATTTAGTTTATATTTGTATTGGGTTGGCCAAAAAGTTTGTTTGGGTCTTTCCATAAATAAACTCATATGGTTCAAAATTCAAAGGCTACAAAGGGGACTTCCCTGGTGGCGCTAGTGGTTAAGAATCCACCTGCCAATGCAGGGGACACAGGGGTCGAGCCTTGGTCCGGGAAGATCCCACATGCGGCTGAGCAACTAAGCCCGTGCGCCACAACTACTGAGCCTGCGCTCTAGAGCCCACGTGCCACAACTACTGAAGCCCGTGCGCCTAGAGCCCGTGCTCTGCAACAAGTGAAACCACTGCCACGAGAAGCCCGCGCACCACAACGAAGAGCAGCCCCCGCTCGCCGCAACTAGAGAAAGCCCGCGCACAGCAACAAAGACCCAACGCAGCCAAAAATAAATAATAAAATAAATTTATAAAAAAATAAGGAAGTGTGTGAAAAAGTATTTAAAAAAAAAAAGGCTACAAAGGTACATAGTGAAAAAAATTTTCTTCCATATGTCCTGACCCTTAGCCACTGACCTTTTGTTAACAGAGGCATCAATGTTACCAGTTCTTATGTCTTTCAGGAATATTTCATGTATAGTCAAACTAATATAATAATATGTACATATGATTGAAAAAATTCACCTTCACTGAATGTCAATTTTAGAAAAAAATCAGAAAATACAAAAAGGAAAAAATGAAAACGAATCGGTGGCATAACTCTCCATAGATAATCTGTGTTAGTTAACATTTTGATGTATCCACTTTCTGATTTTTACTGATAGAGATTTTTAATGGAAATGGTATCAAATATAAATAAGTTGTTATAGCCTGTCGAAAACTCAGAAATAGATTGTATGTCAATAATTACATGAAACTTTTTTTGTAGTCACATAATATTCTATTGCATGGGTATATTATGATTTATTTAGACCGTTCTCTATTTTTGGCTACTTGGGCTGTGTTCAATTCCTTGCTGCTTTTTTAAAAAAAGATATTTATTTATTTGGCTGTG